TCCCAAGGCCTCGGGAGAGCGAAGCGTGTCCTAAGTTCTTCTCCTCTGACCCACCCTAGATAGTAGTGCAGAAGCTGTATGAGGCGTATGAGTGGCCTTTCTGCAGCTAGTGGCTCCACCAGGCCCTCTAGATACATGCACTGCCACAGTGCTGTCATTTGGCAGTTGGCACTTCATATTATTTCTTGCCTTTGGACTGAAAAAAGGCTCTTTTCTTTTCCCCTGCCTGACAAATACGGAGTACAGGATCATCACTGAGTTACGGAGTAGTCCTTTCTATCAATCAGTCCTGGGATAGCCTGATATGCGCGCAGGGCCCGTTGTCGTCATCTCGAGATCGCAGCGGAGTGGTACGACGACTCGACTATTCTGACTGCATTTCGCAGTGGGAGTCTGGCACTGATCTTGCTTCATCCACTTTAGCCACTGGTGGATCACTATTTCCTGCAGCTCCCAGATTTCTCAGTCCAAAACTCCAAAATCACCCCTTAAGTTGCTTCCCTCTCAGGTATGGTGTCGTCGGACCAAGAATGATGCTCCCACGGAGTAGTCTTGGATTCTTATGGGACAGTCCGGCTTCCGCGGAAGACGAATCAAGCGAAGACCTGGCGGGCTGCCACTACCAGGCTACCGGATTCTCCCATGGAACCGTTCTGCCCTTAGGTCCTTAATGTCGACGTGTGTTGCCTGCGGAGTATCTACGGCATATTTCATATTGTTGGAGCCGGCGCCGATACAGATGCCCGCACGGCGGATGTAGTAGTGGGATCGAACGCACCCAAGTGCTAAGCGCTAAATTGACTACGTCTGATACTAGAAAAGTGCAGTTCCCCATTACTGTCCAACCTCCAAAGCAATGCACTTTATATCGATTAGACTACGGGGGCCGTTTCCTTCAGCGCTCGTCTTCTCCGTAAGATTATCACTCCTGACGATGAACTACAGACCGTCGGAGTATGAAAATCGAAACCCTCTGGTCCTGGTCCCCTGGAGCAAGGATACTATGGAGACGAATAACATCCAATCATAAGCATGCCAGCTTACAGCACTGCCTCAATCTTGGAGCTAACCTGTTTTGCACAGCTCACCGCTCTCGATCTGGATATCCGACATCCAGCTCATGGGCGACACAAAAATGTGGTGGCGTCCGCCTTTGTAAGGCTGAATGAGCCGACTGTATCTGCTTAAATTCTCAGCCTAAGTGCTACAAATGTCTGCAATTCAGGGAGGCTGTCGATAATCTCCCCCACGTTTATGCCCTGCCTCGCGAACGACAGGGCATGTACATACAGAACTGTACGACCACGCAGGCATTCGGCCTGGAGAATATTACGTCGATTATGGATTATCTGGAGTACCAACTGCTCGCAGTCTCAGGGCACCACTAGATAGAATTGAATTACTGTAACATGCGGTGGACTAGAGCAACCCCTATTTATCGACTTTTCCGAAGACAGCAGCATAGCATTGCTATTTCAAGGCAGCAGCTCTCGTCCTCTGGTATACCGACGTATCCCTGGAAGCGAAGAAGATATTGAGGTCTCCGGAATACAAAAGAGGAAGGTATGTCTTGACAGATGGCTTTAGATGGTTCTTCGCGGAGATCGATATTCGACTGCAGTGACGTTCATGGCTTCATGGCTCCATGATTGACTCGCGCTGGGCCACTGTCGTTGAATTGACAGTAGTAAATGGGAGAGGGTCAGTATAGCCTTCAAAGTGTGTAATCTACGTAATTTCAGTAATTTATGCGATAATTTGCAATTTCCGGGAGGGACAGGACTAGGCACGCTACCAACTAACTCCAGATCTTCAAATACGAAAGAGTATCATTCATTATTCTTAACTGATTCTTTCCCTCCCTCCAGGCTCCTCTCCTCCAGTCCGGCTTCCTGCACCTGAACCCTGTCGCACTCGACTCAACTCCAGTCCCAGCTGCCCAGCTGCCCATCTTATCCCTGTCCGGTTCGAGGAGTGAAGAAACAAGAAACCAGGAAAGAAAAGGGCACCTTTGACCATCGACAATAATCGACTCCAATATCGCCGTCCACTTCCAGCCTTGTAGGGACCAATAAGGCCGTGGGTTGCACCACCATCGCCCTACGCTCTGTACAGTACTTCCACCCTCGCACTTACTCGGTCTTCTCCGTCCGCCCTCTCATCTTTGTCTTCATCGTCATCCATGGTTTCTCCCTCCTTCTCCCCTTCGGTCACTGCAACTCTGTGCATTTGACACGTGCCTCATCCCTCCCGCCTGTTCCTTGAGGTTATTTCCGCACCTTGGGTCCCGCTACAGCGCCTCCGGACGGACGAGAGCTCTCGACAGCCTTGTGCCAATAAAATCTCTCCGCAGCGACAGTGCAGATTGCAGACACAGCCTTGGGCTATCCCTGTGTCTATTGACAACCACTGTTCGCAAACAATTCCCCAGCATGTCCGGTCAATCTTACACTCCTGCTGTTCTCCATTGCCAATAACTTGCCGCTGTCGGCAAGCTTCTCGACAGCTGACAGCTGAATGGGATAACTTGAGACATTCCTTCGCCTGCAGCTACTTTGCCTCTGAGATCGCCACCACGATCATCTATTTATCGACCCTCGAGTAGCCATCCAGGCGCTTGCTTTATTCGTTCGAGCCACTGCCTTGTATAGATCGGGGTTTTAGAAGCGGGATCTTCTACCACTCCATTGCAACTGGCTCTTTTCATTCTATCTCATCTGTATAGAACATCCTGTTTTGCACGATCTGAAGTCGCTCCTTTAGATTGTCTTTCAATTTCGATCTGTGCTTTTATTCAACTCGGTATTGCTCGGTGATTATCGATGAGTAACCCTAGGGTGCCTTTGCTTCTGTACGATGGACTTTCCACGACTTTCGCCCCCTTCGATTAACATCCACGACTTCAACAGCAGTCATATGTCTACCGCGAGAGCCATGCCCGGGCAGTCATTCCCTTCACAGGGCCCAGTACCGATCCGAACAAACACAATGGCGAACTTCGCGCCTCCACCATTACCACCACCTCCGCGAATCAGTGACCTAGAGAATGGGTACGATGCGGGTTGGATACACGCAAATGCTAGGCCCCCGCCCGGGTCTACGAAACTCGCGCCTATTAACCCTAACTCAAGTCTGTTTGGCGACCACCGTCGCCCAGAGTATCCCTTGCCTCGGCCTGACCCGATGGCGCTGGATGAATTGAATGGCAGACAAAGCGGTCTACATTCTGTGAGGAGCCCCGAAGCGCATATTAAAATTGAACCACCTCCGCCTGCCGATGAAGGTTTCCGCAACTCAATCTCAATGGGCACTCCCGGACCTTTGTAAGTATCCATTTTATCAACTGCGGTTGTTGAAGGCTCTCATACAAGCGGCTAGGAACTAACCTTCTCAACAGTCTCAAAGGCGAACATGACTTCTCCCGACGAAGCGTCAAAGACTCATCACATGCTTATGATCAACATCTCCTATCTAAGATTGGGAAACCAGTCTCCCCGCGACAGTCGGTCAGCATGGGAACAGATAACAGAGGCTCCTTATCAACTCTCCCAATACCGTCAAGGGGATTCTCAAGCTTGCCTTCACCAGCTGGCTCCGACGTGCCCTCTCTCGACGTGCGGTGGTCTGGTGGTTCTCATTCTGGTGGTATATCTCCAAACACCAAGGTGGCATGGAGAGATTACTTGGGCCGTCGGAGCCCAAGCGTTGAAAGCAACGCTCCCTCCTCTACATTGGACTACGAACACCATTCCCCGTTCTCCCGCGATGGTCGCCGTAGAGGCGGTACTACACCACAGTATGACGATTTATCTAGCCTTCCAAGCCGATCGAACCGAGGTAGCTACGATCAGAGCGTTGTTTCGGATATGGAAGGTGAATTTTCCACAGACGAATCCATGCCGTCACGGTTATTCAACGTCCGCGAGGCGACTCCGCCGTACCTAGAAGCTACTCGATCTGGCACTAAACGAAGGGCATCGTCCCCACCTCGCGAGCCTATAGGCAATGATAAGCATGCGCTTCACGCCACAACAAGCAACGGCGATCTCTCTCAGCGGAGGACCACCGGGCATCCTTTCACCAATAATCTATCGGTAAATAACGGCTATACCCATAGTTACGGAAGTTTATCGGCCGCTTCATCCGTGAGCATGCGGACCACCGCGTCATATTCTTCAGTTGCCCCATCTATAGGCAGCAGCATTACTACTGTGTCGACGTACGACCGTTCGCCCACAGGGCTGTCACCAAAATCTGACCTCGACGCTTTTCATGAAAAGATGATAAACTCCGGCCCGACCGCGGGGTTATCTGCTCAATTGGCTGCGCAAACCGCCCAGGACAACGGTTCTCTTGACGCGTCTAGCTCGAATTCTTCAAGGAAGATGTCGTTCCCGTCGAATCTCAGTGTCCCCAAGCCGTCAACGACTAAAATCGGTGGACTTTACATCTGTGACTGTTGCCCTAAGAAGCCCAAAAAGTTTGACAGTCCTGAAGAACTTCGGTTAGTCTCTAATCTATCCATTAAAATGATACAGTCTAACATGAGCAGTTCCCACGCATTGGAGAAACAGTACTCTTGTCTATACTGCAACAACCGATTCAAGAACAAGAACGAAGCCGAGCGCCACCAAAATTCCCTTCATTTGCGACGCCATTCTTGGTCCTGCGCCGCGCTACCGGGTTACCAAGCAGCATTCCACCCGTCACCGTCTTCATCGCAACCCGGATCAAGCGCTGCTTCTCACGACAGCTGCGGGTACTGCGGCGAAGAGTTCCCAAACTATCCGCAACCAGATTGGGACTCACGGTTCGAGCATCTCACTTCCATCCACAAGTTTGGTGAATGCAACAACTCGAAGAAATTCTTCCGCGCGGACCATTTCCGGCAGCATCTCAAACACAGCCATGCGGGGACCAGTGGGAAATGGACCAATATCTTGGAAAATGCTTGCATGAAAGAAGAAGCTCCCCCTGTGCCTATCAATGCACCCTCGAAATAAGATTGATGATCTTCGGATTGCAGACTGCCTTACTCCACGGGAAACAGAAAGCACATCCAACCGTCAATCTGTCTTTTCCTTCTCTGTATCTGAATCATACTTTTACTCTTCTCTATCTACCTACCCGTCTCATGGAACTCGGGGCTCGAGATATTAGACGTACCAAACCAGGTGCCTATACAGGAGACATGAAAGGAGACATGTTTCTCAAGAGCACGAAACGTTTTACAGAAAAACTACGCCTACAATTCACGCGACATGACCCATCATTTCCCTTATCTCATCTCCTTCTCTCTATTCCTATCTATTTACCTACTCTTATATTCTTGGAGCGCATTCTTCAAAACTGGAGTCTGGGAAACTTGAGGTTTCGTCTTGATTTTGTTTTTTCTGGTACTTTTTTTTGGTTTGGGTTGCAAACGGCAAGTGGCAATGGGTGCGCATCAGGTCGGGTAAAAAACGAGGCTTTTGAGTGCTTTTCCTTTTTCTTTTTTGGTTGGACGGGTTAAGCGCTGGGTTGGGACGTTATCTATCATTGTGGGCTAGGTGATCTGTATGTACATAGACGGAAAAGATGAAGAAGGTCCCTGATTCCTATGCCAAGTCATGAGAGTCAGCCATCATGATATAACTATACAAGCAAACAAAAAGAGTTACAAAGCTGTGCTTATAATTCATTTCTCATGCTTAGTATCTTCTCATTTCACTAGTAAGTAGCAGAGGAATAGCAAAGTGACAATCATGAACCCCCCCCCCCCCCCAAAATGGTAAGACAGAACAACGCCGGCAATGCAGTGCAGATGCACGTAAATCAAGTATGACTTTGCTTTTTAAAAGTCATCATTTTTGGTCACATATTTCAGGTTTGCCAAGATCTATTCCAAATAGAAGTTACAGACCCTAGGTCTTACCCTTTAAGTTGCAAATTCCGGTAGGTATCAGGGCTCTTCACTCGTCAACAGCACCCGCAGCCTCCTTCGCCAACCTCAAATCCTTCCCTACAAGCCCTACATCCTTATAGTAAGGACTGAATGCAGCCAATAGACTCTTCAGAGAAGCTCGAAGCGACTCGATAACAAGCTCGACCTCTGGAACTCTCCGCGCAGCCGCCTGTGCAGAAGGATCACTCGAGGACGGAAATGCAGAGTCTGTCCAGTGGATATCCAGCTCGACATGGGCGTAGGCGTCGAGTGTGGTTACAGTTTCGGTAAAGAGGCGGATGATGGCGGGGACGTCGGCTTGGACTTTGCCGTAGGAGTCTTCATTGAGAGAGGCGATAAGAAGGCGGGTGAGGCATTCAATGGCGTCGATGATGGATGATAGGGAGGCGGTGGGTGTGCCGAAGACAGTACCGGATAGACGGCGGGCGAAGGTTTGGCGAATGAGTAGACCGATAGGGGAGCAGAGAAGCGAGGCAAGGATAGGGTGGATCTTTTCGGGTCTGGTAGTTGAGGCGCCCGTGAGGAATTTGAGGTCCTGGGCTGAGGAGAGTAATCTTTGTTTGCGTTCTGGGCTGAGCACGGCGGAGGAGGCGCGGTCAAAGGCGTCGCGGGCTCGAGCTCGAGCCTTAGGTGTCCAGTCTGGAGACTGGCCTATTGACCTGAAGGTGCTACTGAAGCCATCGCCAAGTTTTCCCTGGGTTGTGATGGACTTGGGAGAGGCGGCGAAGATGTTGCCCTCCTGTACTGGATCGGTAAGTCGGGGTAGAGTGCGAAGAGTAGGCTCGGTTTTCGTCTCTTTCGTCTCAGCCGCTGACGGCTTGGAGGTTAGACTAGATTTCTTCTCATTGATACGAGTTGAAATGCCTTGAATCACATCCGTGGCTGCTTGCAGAATCTGCGTCCAAGCAGATCCACCTTCGCGGTCAATGTCGTTGAAGATTGCCTTTCGTCGGTCCGGGAATTGTTGGCTGATAAAGCACAGTTCCCAAAAGGCAAACGCGCGAACGGTCTCCTTCTTCGCTTTCAGCCCATTCAGCAGGCTACCGTTGGGATCTTTAGTCTCTGAGGTCAATGGCTGGCCCCGCTTCAGAGGTTGCTGACTGAGGAAAATAGAGAAGAAAAGATTGGTGGTCTGCCAGCATAGCACCAGTAGCGCGCCCGAAAACATGGTTCGTGCAATCAGAAGTGGCTTGACTGGAAGGATGAGGCTGGGAGGGTCAGCGGCAGACCTAGGGAAGTCCCAGAACAATTTGGCAAGGGACATCGTGTAACTCCATGCTCGACGTCTGAGGAAGAAGACGTAGACCATTGGACATATAGCTGCAACGACCGTGCTCCTCACAAAGCCTTCTTTCACAACTTGCTGTAGCCCTTCCTGCAGACGCTTTGAAATAGGTTGGATCGGGTGCGTTTTCTGGTCAGCGCCATCGGCGGGCTTTTCGGTAATTGCAATGGGAACACGATCGTAATCGTTATAGAGGTGAGCCAAGGACTGTACGATGGCCAGAAGTAGATGATACGTATATATGTAGATAGGTCGTTCGTTCAAAGTCGCTCGCTCATGAGGGCTACTCCTCGTTAGCTTGGCCTCAATCAGCATGTTTTGAAAAGCTTCCTAACTTACCTGCCACGCTTCACCCATTCCAAATGTGCGCTGATAGGCGAGGACCACTTGTATAGTTCACTGAACCACCACGCGGAGAATATGTACCACCCGAAAGTCTGGATGACGTGAAGTGGAAAGAGGTATTGGAAAGTGTTGATGGAAGAGCTCGTCGTTCTCGAGCCAATGTGCATTTGACCAACCCGCAGGACGAAGATAGCGAGAGGTGATATGAAGAGAAGCACGGTGCGAATGCCACATGGTCCGAAGGGGAACAGGGTCCAGAATACTTTCAAGTTCAGAGACAATTAGCTACTGCGCAGCTGAAGGTGTTCAATATACTTACATGAAGAGTTGTCGCCGATCAGAACCGAGGTCGCATAACAGACCAGCAATGATAATGCGGAAGCATGGACAAATCTCCGGTGTAGCGCTGATGTGAGAATGCGCCGGTACGGGCGAGGTTTTGCGGCCATGGTGTTGAGCTTAAGGTGACTGCAATATCGAGATGGTGGACAATTTCACAGCATCATCAGGCGGGCGACGATAATATACCATTAAATACCGCCCCGGGCGGAAACGATGGCGAGTGCAGTGCTTCCTTGAGGTTTGGCGACGGTGAGTGCGGCGAGTCGATAATGAAGCTTTGAAGCTTTTTTTGGTGAACGCCATCAAAACACTCAAGCCACACCCCGTTGGTCAGGTGATGCTTCATCAGCCACAGACCTTGATGTCATCACATCATGTGATTGAGGCCTGCAGATCCGGGCATCAACATCAGCGGGCATCGACGCTTGAACCTGCAGGCAGCTGCTTGGTATTTCCATTCCTCGTTCTACCCGCATAATATACTTCGTTCTCCATTTCTGCTTCTCTTGCTAAAATATGTCGTTCAATCACCTGAGTTCTCTTGAATCCCAGCCCACCACCTACCGGCGTTCGGACGACCCGCAGTACCATGATGATCCCGAGTTCCAGCGGTTGACTGAGTCCCTCTCGAACCAACTCTTCACGCTGACCTCAAACATTACCCGCTTGTCGGATCAGATCGCCCTTCTCGGGACAAAGCGTGACACTGAACGAGTTCGAGAGCGGGTTCACAATCTTCTCGAGCAAACCCGCACCGGATTTAGGGATGTTGGCGACGGGGTCAAGAAGGTCCAAAACTGGGAGGACGTCAATGTATGTCAGCATCAAAAGGATCCGTGGTGCTGGTCTGGTAACTAACAAACGCTTTATAGCCCTCGCAGAAATGGACACAGCAGAAGTTGTCAACAGAGTTCAAGGCCACTTTAGAAGAATTCCAGACCGTCCAGCGTCGAGCCCTAGAGAAACAACGTGCCTCCGCAGTTGCAGCGCGCACCGCCGTAGACGAGGCAGAACACGCAACGGAAGGCGGCACTCAACAACAGCAGCAACAGCTCCTCGAGGAGCAGCCACGCCTAGCGAACCAAGACGAAGTTGATTTCCAAGAAGCCCTGATCATCGAGCGCGAAGCAGAGATTCGCAACATTGAGCAGAGTGTCGGCGAACTGAACGAGCTGTTCCGGGATGTTGCTCACATCGTGAATGAGCAGGGCGAGCAATTAGACACCATCAGCGGAAACGTCGAGAACGTCCATGCCAACACTCAAGGTGCGAACGTTGAGCTCCGCAGTGCTAGCCGTTACCAGAAGAACGCCCGAACTAAGGCTTGCTGTCTGCTGATAATCCTTGCCGTCATTTTGGCTATCATCATCCTTGCGGCCGTTCTTGGGTAGGCGCCTAATGATCCCCATGCTACCTTTCATGACGTTAGATGTTATGCTTTCCTTTTAGTCCTTTGTGATATCCTCCTGTACAGTTTATGTACAATGTTGCTTTGCGCTACTGTGAACAGTATTATGGTTACAATCGTAACCGTTCTGGCGTTAGAGTGGATATTCTATATGCATTTGTTATGCTGCTTCCTGATATTATACATCGCCTCAATGTTATACATACGATACAATTGAACGACCGACCCGATTCCCAAACTCCAGCTCTATAATCATACCGTGAAGGGAAAATATTGTTCTTTATAGACCCGAAAATCGCTTGAACCTCATTATGCAGCCTTCCCAAGAATTCAACTTCGGCCGCACGTCAAGGTAAAAGCTGAGCTTGCCTGGTCCAGCATTTGCAGCCAGACCGACTCCATTGCTCCCTCCGGTTGACTTCCCTTGATAGAAATCAATAACATACTCAATCCGCTCTCCGCCACATCTCTCTACGACCCAGTCGTGTCGATCAAAAGGAAGCTGGTACCCCATCAGGCTGTTCATGCGCGCTCTGGGGCTCAAAAACTCCGGCTCAGAACCCAATCCGCGGAATGAGTACAGCTTAGGCCCCCCGCACTTCTTACTGCCGGGATCCGAGCTTGGCGCTTTCTGCTCCCATTCTAGAATTTGCTGCCATGCGCGCTCGTTGACAGCGTTGTGAATCGGAATAATTGATGCTACTGTAGTCGCTAATTCTGAGGCCGAACCGACTGAAGATGGTGTGTTGCCCTTGCGCATTAACGCTTCGAAGAATTGCCGCTCAGAAGGATAGATCCAGTTCCCCGTTGACTTGTCATGGCCAGTTTCGGTTTCCGCATTTGATGGCGTACCGTGCGACGCAGTCGGTGATGCATACGGTGAAGAGGGTGCGGCGGGACACTCGGATGGTGGTGCGTCCGAATCGGATACGATTGCTCTTGGTATACTGCTTACTTCGCGGTCTGCTGAAAGGGGGCGTTGCTGTTTTCCTCCAGCTGTTGTTGGCTTTCCGTCATTTGAGGCGATAGGATGAGGAGCATCTCCGGGCTTATGTTGCTGCAGCCATGCCTCACGGGTTTTATGATCAACGGGGCAAGTGGCCGCCGGGGTGGATGAAGCGGATGATGCTGGGGTGCTTGCGCCCTGGCCCATTGGGACGTTAGCGTACTCTGATGTATGCAAAAAGAAGAGAAGAAGTGAGAACTGGAAGAAATGAGAGAGCGGGCGTCGATGTGCTTGGTAATAGAGAGGTTCTGCCACGGGAGCGCTCGGCGAAACTCATTAAATTCGTAGTGCCGGCAGTTCCAAATTAGGCAATATTATGTAACCCCGACGCGGCGCGCCAAGTACGCTAAATTATTAAATTGGGTGCGACATTTGGCGTTACTAGCTGCCCAGGCGACAGCGGCAATATAGGTGTTAAATTAACTGTAAATTGCGTTAGTTACTAATAAGAGTTAAGAAGTGTTCTAATAAACAAATTTTGAGTGTTATTCATAATGCGGAAGTCGCTTTACATATAAATTTTAGTGTAAAGTAACCTTTTTAAAATGTTAAAACGCGTCGCGAGGCCCCAACGAACACAACACTTACTTAACCGCGCTAGCGCCGCGCTAAGCCTATTTAAATTAAGCAGATGGCAAGCTTAACAAGGAGATTATTTAAACTGACGGGTCAGTTGTTTAGGTTGACGGGTCGCCCCCCAAAATTACTGCAAAAACTAACTGCTAAAAGTACAGGCCACCTTTACATAAGGCATTAGGGTGTTACGGTTAGGTTAGGGTGGTTAGGGTAATTAGGGTCCTTAGGGTTTATGGTTAGGTTAGGGTAAAAAGGTTAGGGCCCTCAGGAATGAGTTTAAAAGGCCTTTAATATAATAGTTAAGGTGGTAAAAGGTGGTAGAAAAGCGACTATTTGGACATCCTAAATTGGCGATTTTTGGTGGGGGCGACCCGTCAACCTAAACAAGTGACCCGTCAGTTTAAATAATCTCCTTAACAAGCTTGCTGCGTGCTTAATTTTTTGGACCGCCTTTTTAATTGGGACGGCCCTCGGGCGCGCTAAGCCTAATTAAATTAAGCATGCCGTTAAGCCTACGTGGCAGAACCTCTCTAATGCGAAAAAGAAGCAAAGGGCCGGACTAACGCTGCACACCGCCCGCAGCGCCTGATGGACTTACTCCGAGCGAGTCTCCGTCCAGACTATATTTACTTTTTGTGTCGCTCGTCCCGATCCCCTTTTCTGGGAACCTCAGCTGTTTATCTTCTCCCCTTTTCTCTGTTTCTTCGATCTTTCAAGCTATTCTGAGTATATCCCGCATTACAATGGCTGCTATCTCTGAGAGTCCTGTCTACCGGGCTACTACTACTGCCCCTGTTAACATTGCCGTTATCAAGTGAGTACATTACGACACCCCGCCATTGTGCAACGCATTGGCTTATATTGCTGTCTAGATACTGGGGAAAGCGTGATGCCACTTTGAATCTGCCCACCAACTCTTCCCTATCCGTCACCCTATCTCAGCGCTCTCTCCGCACACTCACCACTGCCTCATGCTCTGCCAACTACCCCGCCGCCGACGAGCTCACGCTCAATGGCAAGTCGCAGGATATTCAGTCCTCCAAGCGTACTCTGGCTTGCCTCGCTAGCCTACGGGCTCACCGACAAGAACTCGAGAATACCGACTCGTCCCTTCCTAAGCTCTCTGCCCTCCCGTTGAGGATCGTTTCCGAAAACAACTTCCCCACCGCCGCGGGCCTCGCCAGCTCGGCTGCCGGATTCGCAGCCTTGGTCCGCGCCGTGGCCGATCTCTACAAGCTTCCCCAGTCGCCAACAGAGCTCAGTCGTATAGCCCGCCAGGGTTCCGGCTCGGCTTGTCGCTCTCTGATGGGAGGTTACGTCGCCTGGCGCGCCGGTGAGCTCGCAGACGGAAGCGACAGTCTTGCGGAGGAGGTTGCGTCGCAAGCCCACTGGCCTGAGATGCGCGCACTTATTCTGGTCGTGAGTGCAGAGAAGAAGGATGTTCCCAGTACGACGGGTATGCAGACGACGGTTGCAACATCCGAGCTTTTCGCGACGCGCGCAAACGCTGTCGTCCCCGCGAGAATGACTGCTATTGAAAGAGCTATCCAGAACCGTGATTTCCCTACCTTCGCCGAAATCACCATGCGTGACTCGAATGGTTTCCATGCTACCTGCCTTGACTCGTGGCCTCCCATCTTCTACATGAATGATGTCTCCAGGGCCGCTGTCAGGCTCGTACACGATATCAACAATGCCGTCGGCCGCAATGTGTGCGCGTACACTTTCGACGCCGGCCCTAATGCTGTCATTTATTATCTGGAGAAGGACTCTGAGATAGTTGCGGGAACATTTAGGTCGATTCTCGGCACAGAGCTCGAGGGATGGTCTGGTCCCTTCTATGACGCCGTAAAGGACATCGGTTCTGGCGTCTCTCTGGATCAGGTGGACTCTCGGGCTGTTCACGTGCTAAAGACCGGATTGAGCCGTGTAATCCTCACCGGTGTCGGTGAGGGTCCGGTCAGCGTGGAGGACCACCTCGTCGGTGAGAAGGGTGAGATCCTCTCTACCCAATAGAATGGGGTGGGGAACACCAGAGACGAAACGATTTATGATTCCGTCAAATTGCATCATCATATTTTAAGGATACTGGTATTTAATTGCAAGCCGAGCATCGTTTGATACGATACGCCGGCATGATGCTGAACATTTCGGTTGTCTTTGATTGACGTTAGTCAACTTTTCCGTATAACAAACACATACTACATCTACCCATAATAAATAGTTAGCTACTCGATTTTATTACAAAATACCTGAATGAACTTTTGATATACCGTATATGTAAAAATTATAGCCACAACGTTAATTCAACAACGCCGACTTCTTCATCTGTTTAATTTTCGGCGGCTCCTGTCCCTTCCCAACACCCATGGTCGACACAATGCTCTCCCAGAATACCCTCTGCCCACCCTGCGGCATCGGAACATCCACAGGACCGTTCACAAAGTTCTCAACATCAGCAGCCTGCTCCCCCTCTTGCTCCTGCTGTTGCTGCTGTTGCTGGGCAGCAAAAACCTCCTCCTGACTCTCCTCACAAAGCTTCAGCACATCACTCATAGCCTTCTCAATCGCCGCAGCGCGCTCCCTCATGCCCCTGCGCAGTAACGCATCAACCAGATTATCCACCTCCGAGACCGTCGCGCCAACACGCTCGATGAGTCGGCGCACACTGTTGACCAGATACTCCTCCTCATAAACAGTTCCCTTCTTCCCACGAGCACGCTTACGCTCTTCCTTACGGCGGTTTCGCGAACTCTGGCGCGAGGACGTCGTTTTACCAGACGATGTCTTGCCCGTGTACCGCGTAAACATACTCTTACCAGCGAGAGTCGAGGCATCTGTTGCTGCTAGCGAGACGTTATCGGGAATTTCCACACCTGCGCCACCATCGGCCATAGTGGGGTCACCGCCGAAGTAAGCCAGTGGGTCGTGGATACGGCGCACACGCAGTTCCGCGATGCGAGGGACCTGCGCCTGTAGCTGGGAGCGGAAGTCGGCGAGGAGGTCGGTCATTGAGCCCATGGCATCCGCGAGTGCAGCGTCCACGATTTCAGGGACGAGGGATTGCACGCCGTGCAGGGTGAGGAGGCGCGATGCATCGGAAAATCGCGAGCCGCGACAGAGGAGGCGGGCGGCGGTAGGGATATCGTGGAGGTGTTCGGCGTGGATTTGCGAGGCGGAGAGGTAGTCTTTGTCTTCTTCGACTAGGGTCGTGGCGAGGTCGGTGGCGTGTGTTGTTAGCTCGGCTGGGGGTAGAGGGACCAGCATTGCGGTGTAAAGAGATTCGCGCCAGAGATGGGCGAGCTGGTAGCATTTGTAGGCGTCTGTGTAGAGGGAGAGAGATTCGTAGGCTGTTTGAGCTTCATTAGCGCGTGAAGCCTAAGTATGGGATGTGTGGGCCTACCAATTCCTGCATCCTTGTACTGGGATTCCTCGTAGAGATGTTTTGCGTAGAGGTGGGTGACGTCGCGCAGTTGATCAGGCTGGTATTTGTAAATGTCGATGGCGTCTTTGTACAGAACGTGCTTGACCACGTATTCCCGGAGTTCGTCGTGTGCGCCTACTCCGTGGAGGTGTCCGAGGGCCTTTGCCCATCTGCCTAAGTAGTTGTCGATTTCAAAGTATCGACGCAGATCTGGGAGCTGCTGGAGCTTCCGCAGGAATGGGAGATATTCGCGGGGGTCCTATGCTTCATTAGAATGTCTCTTTGATATCCGTGCGAGGAAACACATACCCTCTGAGCTTGTTGGGCTACGAGCAGTGTAAGCTCTAGATCGTAGAGACCCAGTGCACTGTCATAGAGCCTATTGGCATCCGTCAGGAAGCACATATGTTCCACAGCATCCTCTGCTTGTTCAGAACTCTCCTCTGATATCTACTTAGTACGATATCGAACCTATTAGACAAGGCAAGACATACCTTTCAAGCGTGCTACTAGTCGGAGACCGGATTCAAGGTCCGGTGGCAACTTGCAAACATGCGCAGTGATGAGGTTGTGTAGGTTAGTATCCGATCGCTTCTCCAGAGCGGCCAGGAAGCCATCGCAAATCCGGTTGACCTTGTTGCTTTTCTTTGCTGTCATGGCGAGACCGCTTTCTGGTGCAGCTTCCACGTCCAGTGCTTTTAGGGTGTCCTTGTAGAGCGTCTGTGAGACATCTTCTTCTCTGATTTGGGTTAGTAAGGCCGTTTTGAGCACTTGGAATTAACTTACTTCAAGCGGGAAAGGAACTCGTCGACAAAGTCAACCCTTTTGACCTGGTCCACGAACAACGTGATACTTTCCATGAACTGCTCAGGAGCGTAGTCGTGGATAATGTTCATATCCACCATCTGGCTGCGACAGGTGAGGAATGCAGAGCGGTAGTCTTTCCGATCAATAAAAGACCGGATACCCGCTAGCACGAGGGCTCTTGGGTAGATCGTCTCAATGTTACCCCGGGGAGCTTGCAGAATGACCGAGAATGTGGATGGCATTACGGTGACTAGGCGTGACCCACGTTCAATGCTTCTGCAACGTTCGTCCGTCTCTGGGGTGTCGGGAGGGACCTCCATGTCTTTGGTAGTGAGAATTAGCTAGAGACATATAAGCAGATCGTTGTAGGCACTAACCTTCAGCACGGCGGAGATGAACAAATTTGAGCAAATGCAAAGAAGTTGTGAATATGACATGGGAAGAGGTAACAAGGAAGGACGTGCAGTTCTTCGCAAGCAGCGTCTTATTCGCATAGAGACTTCCGGTCCTCGACAAGGACACCAATACGTGCTTTGGAGGGTTAGTGAAACACGAAAGCTGTCGAGAAGAAATCTTACTTCATATTCAAATATTTGAGCGCTCTCGGCCCAGTATGTGTCAACGGCAGGAGTTTGAGTCCAGGGCGTGACGTGGAACTCATCGGATGATGGCATTGTGATGTTAGAGTAGGTTATCAACTGTCCAGGTTGAGGAACGTGAGAGAACCAGAGAGCTTCATGTCCTAGGCTGGAAAACATGGAAACCAGATGTTCAGAGTCTGCTGCTTCGTAAACGACCTTGGTCTCCCGTGTCTCTAACGTGGTCCGCTCGATACAAGTGTTGTTCGGCCCTCTGCTGCGCAGAATGTAGACTTCATTGTCGTTAATGAAGGTTATCTGACGAGGACGGCTGTCCTTCTCATCAGACAACGGATAGCTTGACTCCAGGATGGGAGCAGGCACCGGCCTAGATTTAAGAGACCATAAATAGACGGAGAAGTGGTCGTTTGTGAGGACAGCGATTCTTGTCCCTGACTTGCTAAAGGCTACATCAATGGCGTTTGCATCAAGATGTAGCTCATTGTGGGCCATAGGGGGCGGCACGCCGGATAGTCTCAGAGGCGTCAATCTTAGGGTTTCTGCGAGAGTTAGGCAAGGCTGATTTGAGTTAGCGAGGTCAAGACGTACTTCCATCAATGACCGCAACAGCTCCAACATCATTAGGAATTGTGGTTGAGCCATGAGAGACTTCAAAAACAAATTCCCCGTCCAAAATCGATTCTGCAAAGCTGTTAGTTTGCATTGGGCACACCGTGCAGGATCTGGAACATACCAGAGGCTCCAGCAACGAAACGCAGAGCTTTCTCGTTGTGCCATTTGTAGGCAACCCGGCTCTCAGGGCTTGTAACGATGGGGATTTCCTGCTTCAAATAGTAGTGGTAGTTACCCGAGGTCCAGAATTGTATCCTGTCCTTGAATTGAACCGCGAGAACTGTTGAATCAACGTTCCAGCTCAAGTATATGTTTGACGCCCACGTAGATCGCTCTTCTTCAGCCAGACGGAGAGTGAATTGGCCGTGGCGCAAACCGTTCCTTTCAAAGAAGACCACATCAATCCGGTCATCCAGCCTCTGGATACCAGCAATGAGGTTGCCATAGGGTCTCCAACTGAGCGCTCCCTCTAGGCCATCAACTGGCTCACTAACACTGTCCAGAGTACCCTCGCGGGAATAGACCCTAATTGCACGGCGGATACCTTCAACGATGCTATTGACCGCAACGAAAGCGCCGTCTCCTCGCCAAGTAATAGTGGTTCTGCCGTCATCATTGCCGCTGAGTTTTCCCTCGTCCACCTTCTCCGGGACAGTTGGGTCTCGCATGGCCTTGGCTCTTTTTCCCTGGAACTGAGTCTCACGCTTTCCCCAGCCCACGGAGACGTGCTGGGACGCTTTGAGGTCATCTGGGGTGAAGGTGATCTCGGCAACGTTCTCAAACTCTCTAGTCATATACAGGAATGTATTGGCCGCAGTAGTCAGAGCCAGTAGCTCTTCATCAGGGGACCATGCGGCAGCTGTAATGCCGACGTCGACCGAGCCCACAATCTCGATCTTATCCTCGCCAGGGAGAGGCTCTTCACGGACAATGACAATGTCACCTCCTTCCAGGACAAGACACGCTGTGAGAGTGTCCGAAAAGTAGTGCAGAGAAAGAACCCGATCACATTCAAGATGTGGCAGGGGACATGGTGCATCCCAAGATGCGATAGTGTCGAAGATTTCTGGGCTCACGGGATCCGAGAAATACGCATCCACGCACTTTCTCCGGAGCTCGATGACTGCGTTCGTGGGCGTAGGGCCAAATGTGCAGATAACAGCATCAGAAGCTGTATCCCAAGCTGTCGCCGTGAGAGGAAGCCCATCCTGAAGCTGCACCTCTGCGAGGCGCACGTTTTTCAAGTTGCGCATCTTGATGAATCCGTGGTTACCCCACTGCCATCAACAACGGGGTTCTGCCCAAGAAGATAAAAAAGACTCGAGCGGGGAGGGAAAGAGAATTGATCAGACTTCCTCCCCGTCAGAGCAAGACCAAGAACCTAACAAGTAAAAGTGTTCTTGCGAATGCGCCGATGCATGTATGAATATCAAATCGACCCAAAGAATTTGATTTTCGCGACAAAAAATCAGCCAATGACTTCATCTCTATACTAATGTTATCAATCTACACCCTCCGTCCAGCTCCCAACTACATTTAACACGACAATAGAAACGGAAAACACTTTCAATCGAAGTTTCAAAGCTGAATGAATTCTCTAGATTTATACAGGATATATGAATTCCCCGACATAGCTCGTTTCCACCATTGCCGGATACCAAGGGTCGTGCGCAAGCGGATTTAACGAGCCTTGTAGGTTTGCCAGACTAGAGGAAGAGAAGCTGTTAGCCAATGCTGTGAGATACTGGCGGGGGTTATCGGGGGGCATACCAGCAATGGCGAAGGGAGCACCGAAACCGGTGACTATAGGTTCAAGTTAGCGATATCAAGAGCCAGCGCATACATCACAACCAATTGGGAGCTACTAACTCATGAAAGCCCAGTATCTGAAAAAGAAGAACTTGGTGAGAGGGTTGAAGGGGATGTTGGAGCGAGGACCCTCGGCGTAGTGGTAAGGACTACCAAGCTGGGTGCGGGTGGTGGAAAAGCCACGGCGGGCGACGAAGGAGGCACCCATGCGGGCCCGGAGAGCGGTAGCAGCGTTCATCTTCGGCAGCGTCAGCACAATTGAACCAGAAACCATGCGTACAATAAGTTTACTTTGAAGGAAGCAAGAGCGCGGTGAGATGATCGAGGCGGAGGTGCTGATCGTGCCATACGGGAAGAGTAGGATGAGATGGTACCAGCCCCGGCCCAGTCACGTGAAACCTAGCTCTCATCAGAGAGGTTGGTTTCTCCGATCAGTTTGTCCGGCGGTAAACGATAGATTGCGGCACCTTCCCCGAACGGTACATTGAAATTTCTTGGTTGCTCCAGTTGGTGAAGACAACAGCCAGATTCCAACCGTCGAGGTTGCTCGAGCTATCTGCGCCCTGAGGCTCGAGTCTCTTCACGTACCTGACAATGGATGAGCTTTTCGACGTCTTCGAGGACAAGCCCCAAGCGGCCAAGCTCTCCGAACCCAGACGACCGAAGAAAGAGAAGAGCAAGAAGCGCCAGGTAAATGGCGATGTGAAAGAAAATGGGGAGAATGCAGAGCCCAAGGATGATCCAGTCGCTACCGATGCTGTTGTTCAAGATGACAAGGAAGAGAAGGCTACAGGCGAGGATAGCAATAATCAACCGGAGACAAAACGATTGCGATTAGAAGAGGAGCCGGAACCCGTTGTCGCAGATTTGTTCGAAACTGCGCAAGAGCGCGAGATTGCAGGATCTGCAGGGCTTCAAGCTGAGAAAGAGGCCGGTCCAGTAGTTTTGTCTCACCAAGTCCGACATCAGGTCGCCATACCGCCGAAATACCCATACGTCCCGATCTCTCAACACAAACCCCCGGCGGACCCCGCGAGAGTGTGGCCATTTACCCTCGACCCGTTCCAGCAGGTCGCGGTTTCATCAATTCAGAGAGGAGAAAGTGTACTGGTTTCAGCTCACACTAGTGCGGGAAAGACTGTGGTTGCGGAATATGCTATCGCTCAGAGTCTGAAGAACAATCAGAGGGTCATATATACAAGTCCGATCAAGGCTTTGAGTAACCAGAAATACCGAGAGTTTGCAGCGGAGTTTGGCGACGTTGGTCTTATGACCGGAGATGTGACCATCAACCCTACCGCTACTTGCCTGGTGATGACAACCGAGATTTTGCGGTCTATGTTGTATCGTGGGTCCGAGATTATGCGCGAAGTCGCCTGGGTTGTCTTCGATGAGATTCATTACATGCGAGATGCCAGTGAGTACGTCGGGATCAACATATCCTTACATGCTACTAACTACGTGGTATAGCGCGAGGCGTTGTCTGGGAAGAGACGATCATTTTACTCCCCGATAAGGTCCGATACGTATTCTTGTCTGCGACAATCCCCAATGCCATGCAGTTTGCCGAGTGGATCACAAAGATGCACAACCAACCTTGTCACGTTGTATATACCGACTTTCGGCCCACGCCGTTGCAGCATTATTTCTTCCCCGCTGGCTCTGAAGGAATGCATTTGATCGTCGATGAGAAGGGCGTTTTTCGTGAGGAGAACTTCCAAAAGGCTATGAGCTCTATCTCAGACAAGAAAGGTGATGACCCGGCAGATGCGCTCGCCAAGCGAAAAGGCAAGGGCAAAGACAAAAAGCTCAACAAAGGCGGGAATCAGGACAATGCCGATATATACAAGATTGTCAAGATGATCATGCTGAAAAGTCTAAACCCTGTTATCGTCTTTAGTTTCAGCAAGCGCGAATGCGAATTTTACGCTTTGAAGATGAGGGCCTTAGCCTTCAACGATGACTCGGAGAAAGAGATGGTGTCCAAAGTGTTCAACAGCGCGATCGAGATGCTGTCTGAAGAAGATCGGAACCTGCCTCAGATTCAGAACATCCTGCCTCTTCTCCGAAGAGGTATTGGTGTCCATCATTCTGGGTTGCTCCCCATTCTCAAGGAGACCATCGAGATTCTGTTCCAAGAAGGTCTTATCAAGGTCCTTTTTGCCACCGAAACATTCTCCATCGGTCTGAACATGCCCGCAAAAACCGTCGTCTTCACAAGCGTCCGAAAGTTTGACGGCTTCAGCCAGCGCTGGGTCACTCCATCCGAATTTGTGCAAATGTCAGGCCGTGCTGGACGAAGAGGTCTTGATGATCGCGGTATCGTTATCATGATGGTAGGAGAGGAAATGGATCCTGCCGTGGCCAAGGAAATCGTGCGAGGAGAGCAAGACCGTCTAAACTCCGCTTTTCATCTGGGCTACAACATGATCCTGAATCTCATGCGTGTGGAGGGTATTTCGCCCGAGTTCATGCTAGAAAGGTGCTTCTACCAATTCCAGAACACTGCCGGCCTAGCAGGTCTCGAAAAGGGTAAGCTTCTCCGTCTACTCAGTGTACAAACTAGCGTGCTAACAAATAATCAGAACTTGCTGAATTGGAAGAAAAGAGAGCCAATATGACCATTTCCGACGAAGGGACAATCCGTGAATACTACGATATACGAACGCAGATTGATCAGTTCAGTGATGACGTACGGGCGGTTATCAGCCATCCTGATTACTCTGTTTCTTTCCTCACGCCTGGTCGCCTGCTTCATATCAAATACAAAGACTTCGATTTTGGGTGGGGAGTAGTTGTCAATATCAAGAAACGCAAGCCCCAGAAGAACTCAGAAGAGCTAGCCGACCATGCTAGCTACGTTGTTGATGTTCTCCTGAGGGTTGCTGAGGGGTCCTCTGTAGGCACAAAAACTTTTGAAGATCTGCCGCAAGGCGTCCGGCCACCCAAGGAGGGTGAGAAATCTCACATGGCTGTTGTTCCACTCCTTCTCAATTGCATTCAATCTATCTCACATATTCGAATGATGATGCCCAAGGAGTTGCAGTCTTCAGATTCGCGAGCCGAAGTGGGAAAGAAGATAGAGCAAGTCAAGAAGAGGTTCCCGGATGGTATTGCTGTCCTCGACCCTATCGAAGACATGGGCATCAAAGATGACGAGTTCAAAAAGACTCTGAGAGTAAGTATCGTTTGCCATGGATATACGGCATTATGCTAATTCATTCTTAGAAAATTGAGGTTCTTGAGGCTCGCTTGGTTACGAATCCATTGCATAATTCTCCACGACTGGAAGAGCTGTACGAACAGTATGCGGAGAAGGTTGATTTAGGGAACAAGATCAAAGCGACCAAGAAGAAGATATCCGAGGGCATGGCTATACAACAGCTGGACGAACTGAAATGCCGGAAACGTGTTCTCCGCCGCTTCGGCTTCATTAACGAGGCCGAAGTAGTCCAACTGAAGGCACGTGTGGCGTGTGAAATTAGCACTGGCGACGAGTTGATGCTCAGCGAGCTTCTCTTCAACGGTTTCTTCAATAAGCTGACCCCAGAGCAAGCGGCGGCCGTACTAAGTGTCTTCGTATTCGAAGAAAAGACCAAGGAGACACCGCCACTGTCGAAGGAAGAGCTTGCGAAACCACTCAAAGAGATCCAAGCGCAAGCACGGATTGTTGCTAAAGTCGCGCAGGAGTCGAAGCTGGCCGTCAGTGAAGAAGACTACGTCCAGAGCTTCCATTGGGAACTGATGGAAGTGATCTACGAATGGGCTAACGGGAAGTCATTTGCTGATATTTGGTAAGTCTCAGCCCTAAACGTTTAGTAATGATGACCGGTAGCTGACGATCCTTCTTCAGCGCCATGACCGATGTTTACGAAGGCAGCTTAATCCGGGTCTTCCGCCGCTTGGAAGAATGTCTTCGGCAAATGGCTCAGGCAGCCAAAGTCATGGGTAGCGAAGAGCTTGAAAGTAAGTTTGAGGCGGCGTTGACAAAGGTCCGCAGGGACATTGTTGCCGCGCAGTCCTTATATCTGTAGAGGAGTCCTCTTATGTCTTGGGTGTCTTGGTAGTTGCATTTCCCTGGCGTCGGGCTAAGAAGGTTTCAGCCGTTCCTCATTTTTACCTGTATGTAATGTCGTGATATCCCCAGATTCAACGGCCGAAGAGGGAAGTGGCAAGATATGTACAAAAGCTGGGATTTTCATTATTTATTCAAAGTCACATACAAAAAAGGTATATAATTAGTAGTAGTATTATTATTACTCCGTAGTCCATACGGTACGGAGTACGTAAAACAAAGAGGCCTAGAAATGCATTATGGGTCCGCGTTGCCTCCCGCAACCCGCCAATCGTCAATGACTCTTGACTGTGTCGCCCACCGCTTCTCTTTCTTCACTCTTCTTTCCCCACCAATTCGCTCTCTCTTCAAACCTCCTCTCTTTCTCCTTCAGCTGCATCCTTTTTTCCTGTCCTTCCCTTGCTTGCATCTTTCCTCCTCGCTATTCCCCTTTCTTCCGCACCCTCCCCGTGCACTTGCCTGACTCTTCCTCGCTCCTCCGCTTGCTCCCCTATCGCCCGGCTACCAAGTCCGACCTCTCCTACCCTTCCTTCGCCGGCCAACTGTTTGCGGGCACCATGAACAGCTTGGTGGTTACTCCACCTGTGCCACCTCACTTCTACGAGTATTCTCGTCTCTCTCCCTCCCGACCAAGTACGTTTCCTTTGTCGATACTGGGCCCTTGGACTCTATGAAGAGCTCATTTCTAATCAAACATTCCAGTGTCTACCCCCAGTCACACTCCGACGAACCGCAAGCGGAAAGCAGAAGATGACCACAATGATTTCGATAGCCGGATGTCAGCCTCTCCTACGAACTCTCCAGCTTTCACTCCGCGCTCTTTGCCATCATCCTCCCGACAACTAAAACGTGCTCGACCTAATGTTGGCGGGAGGCCGCTCTCTCTTCCCCGTTTACTCGAGACCTTAGATACCGAAGCTCTTCGCGGTGTCCTCCGGTCGATATGCAATCGTCACCCAAGTCTGGCCGATGAAGTTGTACAAACTGCTCCTCGCCCAAGTGTTTCATCTGCACTCCAAGTTCTTCGAAATTATCAATCTACACTACAATCCTCATTCCCTCTGGGCGGCAACCCCGAATCCGACTACGCCTACAATCGAGTCCGACAGCCTCTTGGGAATCTTCTGGAAGCTCTGAGCGACTTCACCCCACATTTTCTGCCACCCAATGAAACCCAACCTTCGGTATCCTTGAGTTATCTGGACGACGCCACCGAGATTATACATTCGTTGCCGCGTTGGAGCTCACCCCAGAACAACGTAGAGCGGGACTCTGCGTACGATGAGATTTGCAAAGCTTGGATTCTGGTGATACGAGAGGCCGCCAAACGAGGAGGTGGAATTCAGTTGCAGTACGGAGGTTGGGATCAGAAATTAGCGAAGCATAATCACAACTCGGGCGGCAAACTGCAGGCAGCCGTCAATGATCTCGCGTCCAGTCTAGGATGGATGCATGGCCCGGAATCTCAAGGCTTCGGGAGTCCAGGGGGCAACGATATAGGGTCCATTCGAGAGCAGCTTCTATCGGGCACATATGGACTTGGAACTCCCGTCAAAGTAGGGCCCTGGTAAAATGCCCGTCTCCAACATAATTTCTCGTGCCCGCAACAATTCGACGTCTCCCATTCCCATCAACCCATTTTATCCTCAACCGTGAATTTCCATCTACGATACGATCACGATACAAACTGCATGAGCTAGAGTTTCAAAGGTTCATCTTGGCGTTAACTATGTGCAACCAGAGTTTTTGTTACCGTCTTTTCGCTTCATCTCTTATCTCGCTTCTCTTATTGTGTCATCATCCTAGGTCTTATCCTTGCTCTTTCACTGTTATCTAGAAGGTGGAATCACTTATCATCGGTCTATCGAACTACGCATATCAGGCTCATGGTCGGCAACTTTGTTCACTCTTTTCGCTTTCTTTGGTTGTTTTTACTCATTTCCCGTCGATGCCCCTTCTTGTATACCCCCATGTCATATTCAATCTCAGCATTCGTGCCTTATTGCTGCCCTAATACAATCCATCGACTGGGAGAGCCAGCTCCAGACCCACCTAGCGGGCAAGTATCCCGTGCAATTTCCGGGTTGGAATGTGTCAAAAAGCAATTGGCGAACAATATCATATAGAACGATGCACTCTACGTAGTGACTCGTCAACCAGCTGCTCTTGGTAAAGCTTTGTTTACCCAACTTTCTTCATGTAGACTTCAACTTCAATATCTTCAGTTGTAAAACCAAATATTTCCTAGTAATCCACGTCTAATCCAATTGCCCTTTCATGATTATGGATTCGTTAGGGAAATGAAACATTCATTCGTCAGTCTTACATTGAACAAGCATGCCATTCAGTCACGTAACTCCATGTATAAGATAGTACTGAGTTAAATTATTATCAAGGGTGGAATATACGGCCTTCGGTTATATTGAGGTCCTCACTGTTTGCTTAGCACCTGGAAAGAGAGAAGAGAAGTCATTATATGTTTTTTGTCGTGTTAGGGTCTCCTGTGAGTATAAAATGTGACCCATACATAAAGCGCACGGGGCGCATTAAGTTGATATCAACGCCTGTCTTATAGTGCGAAAGAACCATCCTGCATCGTCCCAGCCGCCGTGGTCTCCGGCTCTTTCCATCGGATTGATCTCAGAACAGGCATCTGACATTTGGCTTCTGGTCTCATCGTCATCTCTGTCGGATAAATCGTGAGGTGGGTCATTTTCGAGGTCTGCATGCAATTCTGCTGCCGGTGGGTTGGTTACTGCGTCTGGAGAGGACGAGAGCGGCCAGTCGTCGACACCGAAAAGCGTCCATTCTACTAGGCGATCAATCCAACTTCCCAAGCCGAATCCACGCTCGCGAGTCAGGCGTTGGAGTTCACGCTCATCGATTTCTTCTTCGTCTTCTTCCGAGTCCCAGTAGTCTGATATCATGGAGTCGTAGTCATCATCGAGGTTTTCCTGGATTGTATCCCGCATCTCAGCGCGGACGCGCTCGTCTATGAAGTGTGGGAGGAAAGATGTAGAAGATCCCGCGTCTTCGCTTGTGCGGTTTGAGGGCGTTCGTGGAGCTGAGGCGATGTGGAGGCTATTTCCTTTGGAGATGGGCGAAGCCGTCGACATCTCGAGTCCCGTCATCGATAGGTCAGGCCTGCTGTTTCGTCGACTAGCCACGCGGGATCGTGAATGCGCAGCTGCAGGCGTGGACCGGTCGGACTTTGTCCGGCGAGATATGCCTGTTCGCAGAGCATGTGAGATAGCATCAACTTCATAATTTCCCGCCTCGGAGACTAGGCTCGTTGAACTCTCTCTTTTTGCCAGCCAGCTCTGGCCCTTTTCCTCGCGGGCCGTCGATGCGAGCGCAACACCCGCACGAAGGATCCACTCGGGGTCTCTCGCTTCGGATGGCTGATGGCGGTGGGCTGCAGAGCGCCGAGCTCTCCTGCTAGTAGTAGGACTAGCACTGGCGCTGACAGTCCCGCTCCCGCTGTCTCCAGATTGGTGATGCAGCGATTGGTGCACATTCCGCTCCTGGAGGTTGGAGTCGCTTAGATGAATAGGTGTTGAGCTTTTGCTTCGGGAGTGATGGCGGACGCGTGAACCACTCCTCGAAGGCGTACGCGAGAGAACGCCAGGGGTACCAGGAACTGAGTAACTAGATAGGTAGGAGGTTCTGGTTGGGGTGTTGAGAGCCTCGCTTTGAGGGGAGAAGTAGTCCTGTGAGCCATGTCCCAAGTCATTGTCATCGTCAATGGGGTAATAAGGAGTTAGCGGAGCGAGGGAGGTGCGATTTAGAGATGGGTAAGAACGGCGAGATCGAAAGTCTGATTGAGACTGCTTGTTGTTAGTGGTATCTGGTTTTTTTGTGGATGTAGAGGAAGCCCACTTACAGCCATTCCGAGATATGACGCGATATAAAGGGCCTTAAGGAGGCATTTATAGAAGCTGAATGAGGAACAGTAGATGGAAGGATGAAGTCGAGGGTTGAGGTGAAGTAGTTAGGTCTGGATCTACCCCGGCTAGGGCGACTCCGCACTTTGTTTGACATGTGAAAATCACCCGGTGCAGTTTGGGGTTGAACTATAACAACAGGCCTGGTCGTAATAACAACAGGCCTTTAACCGCATTGGGCTAGATGGCCCCTTATTATATAATCTTTTTTTATATTAGGCTAGTGTATTATTTAATTAGGCCTAGGTTATAAAAATAATAGGCCTTAACACTATTTAGTAATATTTTTTTTATTCGTGTTAAGGGAGCAAGTTAACTTAAGTATTTTTAAAAAATATATTTATATATAAATTTTATAATAAAGCTGCCTTACTATAATTACCTGTATAATAGCTAAATTTACTAACAAGCAAGTTAATTTTAACTTTAAAAAAAAGGTTAAATTTAATATTAATAAAGCTAAATTACCTTTATTACCGCTGCTAAAAGGCTTATATATAACTAGTAAAAAGGCCCTTAATATAATAAGCTTTTATGCTTAATAACATGGCTATAATATTATTAAAAAATAAACTAATATATTACGTTAAACGGGTTAACCTTGCGTTTATTATTTTATTTATAATTAAGGCAAGATATAAAAAGTATAGGGCCATGGGTTTAAAAATAAAAGTATATATTAAAAGGGGTGCTTATTTAATATACTTATTAACTAGTAATAAATAATAACTAGCTACTAGCATGTTAAAGTATATAATAAAGCTTATACTTATAATAGCTTTTAAACACCTTTATTTTATTTAGTACACTAGTGCTTAAAGCTAGTAAGGCAAAAAAATAAAATAAAAAATCTTATAGCCACTAGCTATATAAATTAAAATATTATATTAAACTTTTACTAAGAAACCACTATTCTTTAAGCTTATAATATTAGTAATTTACGCCTAAAAACCTCCCGCGCCTTTTTTTATGGCCTTATTTAAGTTTAGGTACTTATTACTATACTTACCAAGCAAGGGGGTTAAATTATATAATATAAAATAAAGTATAACTACCTTACCTGCCTATTTTATATTTATAAAAGCTTGCTACATTTTATTAAGCAATACCTGCATGTTTTCTTTATAAATAATACCTATAAAATAAATTTTTATAGCCTTTTAATATTAAATATTACCGGCATTACAGCCAATAATTTAATATTTTTTATAAAAATATATTAAATAATAAAAAAAAATAATACTACGTACTACTTCGCGCTTTATACTTTAAAGTTAATATATTTAAAGCTTTAGATTCCCTTAAAGGGCCCGGAGATAATAATTACTAATTATAAAAATATGTTATTACTTGCCTTTAGTATTATTTAGCCCTTTACCAACTAAATAATCTGCCTTTAGTATATTTAAAAAAAAGTTTTAAAGTATATTAAGCCTTATTTAGCCCAAGAGGCCCTGGCAATAGTTACTAAAATTAAAAAAATTATTATAAATACTATAAATAAAAAAGCCACAGCGGCCACTACCTAAAGTATAGCTATTAAAGCGCCCGTAGTACCTGCTAGTAAGGTTAATAGCCAGGGAAACACTAAAATTATACTTAACAAGCTATTTAATCCTAAGGTAGTAAAGAAGTTTATAAATAGTAAGCTTAATAATATTTATTTTTTATTTTTTAATATTATACAGGCGCGGACAGTAAATAAAATAAGATTTAAATAACTTTAATTTTACAGGGAGTATAAGTAATTCCCTGCCTTTTTAGGCTATTTCTAAAGGTAGTAGCTTTTTTTATTTTATAATTATTATTTTTTATAATACTATATTAAAAAGTATTTATACTTTAATAGTGTTGCAAGCTTATAAGTTAAAAGTACTTATTAAAATTTAAAGCAAGATTTACTAACATCTTAACTTAGCTTACTTAAAGCTATATAAAAATTTAAGCAGGTAATTATTTGGAACTATTATAAATTACTAGTAAAAATAAATAACAAGAGGCTTAAGTGGCCTTAAAAAAACTAGTAATATTAAAAAGGTAATTAAAACTTACTTATAATACTTGCTATACTATTATTTTGCAAGGTTTTTAAAAAGGTTTTATACTATACTTTGCGCCTGGTATTAAAGGCCTATAATAAGTATTTATTAAAAAAAGCGCCTAGGAAAACTTTAATTAAAGACTACAAGAAGTTTTAAAAAACTTGTTATGGCCTACCTTATATTTATAAGGTTAAAAAGGCGCTAGTAAATGGTAAAGTGCTTTAGGTAACTTACTTTTATAGCTAGTAATATTTATTTACTTAACTTAAAGCTATTCTTATTAACCCGCGTTACTTTATTATAAATTTTATTTATTTAAACTTTTAAGGCTATTTAATTTAACCGCGGGGGGGCGCTTAAGGCGCTTAAGGTACTTAAGTTATAAATTTAATATTAATACACGCAGGAAAGGTAATACCAGCGCTGGCGTTAGGCATAATAGCTAATATTATAATAGCTTGCTAGCTGTTTTTATTTAAAGTTATAAAGTATTAAGTTAACTATATAATTAAGCAAGTAACAAGAGGTAGGGAATTAGGATTGCAAGGGGGGAAATAAGTGTGAAAACCTTGAGTAGGCTAACCAGGTACAAAACAAAGTACTAAAAGGCTATTTAATAAGGGATTAATATTAAATCTTAAGGCCTAAAATATATAAAAACTAACTTTTAACTAACTATTCTTTACTGGGGCGTTGGCCTTAAATACACTATTAAAATAATAATAATATTATTACTGCGTGTTAGGTTAATATTACTATAACTTTTATTTTATTAGTTTCCTTATTTTATTAGGGCTTGGCACCCGTGGGTGTAATAACTTAGCCCTTTTTTAATTAAGATTAACCTAATTTTTAAATAGCTTTAATTTTTATAATAAACATGTTTTACTATTATTTTACTTTGGTTTCGCGTCTAATTGTTTAGTTTTTTTATTTAAAATAATTTATTATTAAATGCGGGGTTATCTTAAGGCTTAAAATAGTGTTTTTTTATTAGTGTTTTACTTTTAAATAGCTTTACTTTTAGTGGCTGGGATAGCTATTTTAGTAAATAATAAAAGTTTTAAGTTACTTTTTATTAATTTAAGCATTAATAAATTATAAATAGGCAGTGTTTTATAAATAATAAAAAGGTTAATATAGTTATTATAATACTGTGTTATTAGTATTATATAGGTAGCTAAATATAAAAAAATAAATTTTTATTTACTTCCTAGTCTCTTTTTCTTTTTTTAACTTTTTTAATTCTTTTATTTTATTTTTTTAATTCCCCTATTTTATTTCTTAAAGTTTAACATTTTATTTTTTTATTTTTTTGCTAGCTATCCAATCTCATGGCTTTTATAATAAGGTTTAAAATCTATCCCCCTTTCTTACCAAAAACTACCACTACTGCCACTAAAAACAGTAACAGGAATAGTAAAGGTTCCTTAAATAATTTAAAAGGAAAAGGTAAGTAAAAAAAGGGCGCCATAAACAGCAAAAAAAAAAAAAGCCTAAAAAAAATAAAAAAGCTAGTAAAACCCATAGGGTTTTATCACGTGTGCCTATTTATTTAATAGTGTTATAGTGCCTAATATACTTTTAATTTATGCTAAAAGCTAGTAATTTAAATAATAATAACATGCTATTTTAATTTAGTTATAAATTTAATATTATTATATTAATTTTATGCAAGACCTATTTTTACTATAATAAGACTTGCAAGCCGGTAAGTTTTTAATATTTTTTTTTTATATTTTATAGCTAATTTATTATATTTTTTAAGTTAAAGTAATAATAACAGGGGATGCCTATAATTTATAGCTTTTTATTAAATACTATTATTTTTTTTACCCGCGGATTAATAACAAAAGGGTAGAGCTTTTTTTAAAAAATAAAAAGTATTAGTAGGGCCAGGAATTTATTTTCCAAGTTTACTTTGTAATAATCTAATTATTAAAGGCCTTTAAAAATATAAAAAAAGCTTATTAAAAAGAATTCTCCCTTTTAAGCAAGGTAAAAAAAAACTAGTAAAAGTTAAACCTTTAATACTATATAAACGTGCTATCACGTCGCGTCCTACTTCTTATTATTTAGCTTATAAATCCCTTTATTACTAATATAAAAAATAATACTAAAGTTTTGTAGTTATACCTTTATTTTTTTTCTAGTAATTTAGGCCATGTCTAGTGGTTTATTACTAAATTTTAATTTTAAAAAAAAGTTAAGCTTGCCTGTTAGGCTTATTTTATTAATACTCTAAATTTTAATATTAAACTTGCTTATATTAAAATAAAGTTTCCTATTACTATTAAGGGTATTTAGCTGGGTTTATTATATATTTAGTATTAATAGTAGTGTCTTTTTATTTTCTTGCTTTTTTAAAGTTAGTGTTTTATTTTATTTCTAGTGCCTTTTTAGCGCCTTAGTTATTTATTTTTATTATTTTTTAGTTTAGTTATACTAGGTAATAGCTTGGTAATATTAGGGCCTTGTCCCCTTAATAATACTTTATTTTTTTTTTTTTTACTTTAGTACTTATTACTTCCTAGGTTTGTAGTTTCTTATAGTTACTTGTAGTTTAAGACTAAAATAATAATTTTTAGGCGGTATTTTATTAGGGTCTTTTTTATTTAGGTGTATTAGGCATATTTTAACTTAAAATTAGGTCTTATTTTTACTTTTAACTAAATAATAAATAACTATCTTGCTGCGCTTGCCTTTTTTTATACTTTTAAATAAAATTTAGTGCATTTATATTCTTAATAAAAACCTATTAATTATATTCCAAAGGCTATTCTTTTTATTTTACTAGGTATAAGTCTTTATTTTTAATAAAGTCATGGCTAATAATATTATTAATCTCCTATTCTTTATTTTTTTTTAAATTAGGCATAGTTTTCATGTTAATTTCACCATGC